AAAAAAAAAAAAAACAATGGTAACAAAGATCAATATCAAAGAATCTTTCTATATAATGTCATGAATATTGTCATTCTCATCATGATGGACAAATAAATACTATCATTCAAGGATAGAATCTAATAGATGCACACAAACCACATTATAAATGGCAAACACTAAACAAAAGGCAACAGAACATATGCAATATCACATTGAAAACTATGATCAGAAGTACTTACATAGAGTGAGGAGATATTCACACTCCTATATATTGTCATCGTTTATGTTCAGATGCGCTTGTTTTCATCTCGAGCAAATATCGCCTTGAAAACCGTTCTTTCTCGACTTGCACGAAGTATATAAGTAACAACTCCAACCAAATAAACAAAATGAACAAAGTATTCATCGTCTCTTTTCAGGGGAGCAAGCAGACGATGGAAGACACTTGCATGTAAGAGTGTAATTATAGTAATATTGTGAAGATATCGACAGATGAAGTAAAAACATCAATAAGTGTACTTTTGGAAGTTTCAGTTCCAAAATGCCTAGGGTTCTCGAAAAACTGCAGAATCTTATTACGACTGCGCTAAGGATAAATGGGGTGCATTCGAAGATGACTATATCATAAGTCTTAATTACATTACCTGCTATCAAAGAATTACTAAACAAAGTAATACACAACATAATCACACAGAGAACTTTATCCGCAGCACGTTCAAAATCCACGTAACAAGTAAAGAAACAAGTACACCAAAAAGCCAAATTAAACGGTCCAAAACTCCAAAAATATACGCAGTTTAACTCCAAAAAAGAAAGGGAAAAAAAAAAAGGCGACTGTATGAGTTTCCAACACAATCCAAAGTCATCACTTACCACCAAAAGCCCAAATTTGCGGCTACAAAAAACAGAACAGTTTACTTACTTCATCAAGCCGCCTTGACAACCTTATCGTCAGCCACGCCATTAAGGATCGGAGGGAGATTGCTGAATAATTCATCGAGACCCTCAAAAAACCCAGTCCCTTCAATGCTATGATCATCCTCCTTATGTCCCGCCTTGTTCTCCTTATTATTCGCCCCCAAAGCAGGCTCTTCAGCTTCGTTCCTCAACTCCACGTTCAGATCCAGCTTCTCGAAACTCTTTGCAACCCTACCGTGTTGTTTCTTGCCAGCTGTCACATTATCCGCATCTTGCACAAGTACTTTTCTCGACCGCTTGATGCGGGTCCCACTAGCAGTAGTCGCCTTCCTTTTGACGTTCGCCGCCGATTTATTATTCCCGCCTTTTCGAGTACGAACATCATTCCAGTCTATGTCAGACTCACCCGAACTGGATATATTGACAAAATGGTCGTTTTCGTCATCTTCATCGATGTAAACCCAAGGGCCTCTATATCTGGCCCCCGTTTTTGGCGCAGGGTAGTTATTTCTCTTCCAATCTTCCATTGAAAAGCCCAAAGGGATAAAACCCCAGCAGCAAAAGTATGCGTCTTGCCCGTCCGGGACAGGTGGCGGTGAAGGAATCACCACGGCTTGAAATGCCATCTTGCAGTTCTGACATCTCATTGCACAGTCGACGTAAGTCCTAGGATACTCGTACATGTAATAGCAATATGGGCAGGTGGTCCAGAAAGTTAATTCATTGTCATTCACTCCATAATCATCTCTCTCGTCTTGTTCGACATTTTCTACATTTTCCTCGACGTTTCCGAGATTTCCCTCTGCATCATGTTCGACACTTTCTACGTTTTCCTCTACACCCTGTTCGACATTCTCTATATTCTCTTCGACATTTTCACAAACACTTGGAGGACTATTCTCACCAGCAACTGGGTAATCATGCTGGGAATGTTTTTCTTTACAATTATTATTATTATTATCAATCAATTGCTCATGATATGTCCTAGATGCAGGAGGAGCTACATAAAAACTAGAAAAGCTTGAATAATTTTGTTGGTTAACGACGGGATTATTGACCGGTTCATGACTCGGCATTGACCCGAACACAATATTAGAACCCGAATGTAAGCCCATGAAATTCTGAGGCTCACTGGTCGGGCCGCCGACCGACGGCCCGACCTGCGGTTGTACCAGTACCTGATGAACCGGAGCAAATTGGGTCGGGGCTATGCCGCTATTCTCACCGCCATGCACCGGAGGGTGGGGGAAAGTGAAATTATGCTGGTACCCGGGTAGGGGCGGGGCGAACGGGTCGGGTTGGTGGGGCGGCTGGAAAAAACCGAGCTGCTTGTCGTACAGGGCCTTGCTGGCGGGGTCGGAGAGGATGGACCAGGCGTCGACTACGAGGCGGTAGGCCTGCTCGGCGAAGGGGAACCTGTTCCGGTGCGGGTTGAGGCGGAGGACGAGGCTCCGGTACTGGTCGGCGACGAGGCCGGCGTCGGCGCCCTGCGGCGGCGCGAGACCGAGGATTGAGTAGAAATCGGGATGGTTGGTGCCGATCCGGCGGTCACCGGCGAGGAGCGTGTCGACAACGGCGAGGATGTCGTCGGCGGAGGAGAGCGTCGGGTCGGCGTCGCGCGCCCGGGAGGCGAAGGACCTGCTCCCGAGGAGGTCGCGCGTGGAGAGGAGCTTCTCGGCGATGGTGAGCCACCGGATGGCCTCCGCACGGGTGGCGGTGCCGGAGGTGAAAAAGGGGTGCTCCATTTTTTTTTATGTGGGGTCGGCGGGCTAAAATGCAGAGGAGAAATGGGGAGTGAGCACTTAAATGTGGATAAAATTTGAGGGAGGGGTTGGGGGTGAAAGACGGAAAGGGGCTTGGGATTTTGGCGCGGGGAGACACGTGTGAGAGGGTGGACGAGGGTAAGAAGGGAATTCCGTTTCGCTGAGTGACGTTTGACTCTCGGTGGTCGGGACACAGTGTTAGGTCAAATCAAGGACAATTGGATGTAATAAAATTTTGGGGGTACTTTTTGTATTCTTGAAATGAGAAAATGTTATGATTGTAATAGAAGGCAGACTTTTTGAAAGATTTTATCAATTGTATTTTCGTAATTTTATTTTTTATTTTTATTTAGCTTTTTATTTTGAAAATATGTATTCTTTTATTGATTTATACACTCACGGCCAGTTGGTTGGACTTTTTGATAGGGCTTGATACAATACTTTAGGTTTGGGCCCTGTTTTATGTGTGTTATTATGCATAAGTTAAAGGTGTTTGGTTGCATTTTTTTCATTTAGGATTGCGCCATAGTAGTTGTTTGGTTGATTTTTATAAGTTGGAATTTATTTTCAATTTGTTTTTTATTTTGATGTATTTTCTCGTACTTCCCATTTTGACACCAAAGAGACGCAAAATTCGACGCCGATTAGAAGAAGAGATTCAGACGAAGAAGGCGATTCCTACTGCATGCTTAAAGCTTGAATTACAGCAACTCGGATTTTTGGCGGAGGAACAAACTCTTACAGGCGAACGAGACGATTCCTGGACAGGTTTCTCATAATCGGGCTTCATCAGAAAATCACCAAGTAAGCTTATAAATGGATTTACTTTCTTGGCAGAGTAGAATTTAATTTCTGGCAACATTTTTTGTGTGCAATCATTAAATTTGTTCACTTCGTTCAGTTACTATTTGGGACTACACCCTAAATTAGGGTTCTCTTGTTCGATCTCGACATTCATAATTACAGTTCATTATGTTATATGTGTGTATTACAAGTCTTCTTCTGCTTTTGGAGGTATGAGTGCGCAGGGTCCTGGAGGAGTTAGAACGTATGACAAGTTGAGAGTTTTGGTTTGTCTGAGATCATTTGGTTGAGTTAGTTTCTCCTTGTCTATTGCATCAGATCTAGGGGTTTAAAGACATTTATATATTTCTATGGAGTGGTAGTATAGATTTTCATTTTCAGTCTTTTACTATAGGCTCTGTCATATTTGGTTAGTGTTTGAGAGATGGTCCAAACATGTACAGAAGCAGATGACATAACTTCTTTTGTCAGCTCTCCTTTGACATTGAAGTTATCCTTTGTCATGAACCAATTGTCTGCAACTGATATATGATTCTCCTTGCATTTCATAATGTCTTAAATATGGTGAAATGGGCTATGGTATTTCTTTGTTACACATTTTCGATCGTTCTTACCTTTTGTATTAGAGATGTCTGTCACTCACTTTGCTCAATTGATGTGAAGATATTAATATTTCATCTTGGTTGCCAAAGTTATAGACCTTTCTCTTTTTCATTTATCATCTGCAAAAATTTATATTAGTAAGACTTATATTGTGGATTATTGTTACGGGAAACTCATGACTGAACTTCAGTTTTGTATGTCTACATTGGCAGGAATGAAACCACATACTCGAAATGATGACATTGCAAAGCTCTTCAGTTGTGACGGTTGGAATGAAAACGAAGAGAACTTTCTCGTTCAACAACTTGAATATGCTGCTCTTAATATCCCTGTAAGTTTCATTACCACCTCTGTTACCTGTTTGTGGTATATCACGGGGCTGTTGAAAGAAACATTTAGGAAAGAGTTTACATTCTAATGGTAAAACAAAAAGTCATCAATTTACGAAGACAATACAATTTGTTTTTGGAGTGGAAACAAATCCCAGGCGTATATCACAATCGAAAATCTAACAGAGTCTCTGTCGATGGAGTGTACTTGCAATCAATCACTAAGGTTAGGTACATCATAAATTGCTGATCCTTTATTAATTCATTCTTCAGAATGCTATGGAATGGAGGTTTATTTTTCATTGAATTATTTTATTTTTTAAGGAAACTATGGAATGGAGGTTTTTCAGAACCTATGGGATGAGACATTTTGAAACGACAGACTTTATGTTCAAGACAAAAAATACAGTGCATATTGTGTTCCTCGGTGCTAGATTCAAAAGAGACAATTGTTAAACTTCAGCTGTATATTATTACGCCACAAGTGTTGTGTGGAGATGTAGTAGACCTATAAACTTTTGAATTAGTATGTGATGACTTTGGGTTGCTACAATGATCTGACTTTGTAATGTTAACTGTTTGTTCACTTTTGGATAATATATGAATTTATTGAGCCGTTGGAAGTTTGTAGCCACATGGAAGTTATTGAGCAGTTGGATTTATATTGTTAATAATTTGTTCACATTTGATTGATTCTATAATTCATTGATTGATTGTTCAAATTGATTGGAGAAACAGGAAGTATGTTTGGAAGTATGGATGAAGTTTTGGCAGTATGGAATTTGTTTGTAAAGAAAAGCCTGTTTTGTGTGGCATTATGAACCACAACATTAAATCAAACACAAGTGTTGCACATTACTAGTTCTCAAACAACAATAACTCATCCAAAGTTACTAGTTCTAGGCATGTAATAATACAATAATGGCTTAATAAAAGTGTTGCACATTACTAATTCTCAAACAACAATAACTCATCCAAAGTTAATCCATAATCTACACATGTTATTATTAAGACTCATCACCTAGCACTCAACCTTCAACACGAAAATAATTAGTCTATTTTGAGTTCTTATATCATAAATCATCGGACTACCTAAGATCGCCCATCCTTTTTTAAAATACCGAATGATCTCTCGACCACGTTTCTAGCTTTCGAATTAGACATATTCAAAAATTCGTAAGGGCTCTGAGGTGTAAGCCTTCCTTCCCCCCAATCTTTCAAATGATATCTCAGTCCCTTGTATGGACACAAAAAACCGTTACCATTTGTGTAGCCATTATCACATAGGTAATAGTTACCTACAAAAGACATGATTTAATTTTTTGTTTACTTTTTAATCAATAGAAACCTATGAAATGTTTAACAATTATCTTAAATGGACAACCCTTTTTCTTCAGTACCTCTAGGGATTTTCAAGCCATTAGGTCTATTTATTGCATCTTTAAGAACGCGATAATCGGTGCAGAACTTTTCCATCCACACAATACATAGACAAAATTTAGGTTAAGGTCAACAACTCCTAGCACGTTCACAACAACTTCTTCCTTTCTGGTGCGGTACCTTGGTTTATCAACTTCCGATACTGTCACTCTTATGTGAGTTTCGTCTAAGGCGCCTAGACAACCATATTTTCAAATTGGGATTCAGTTTTCTACTGTTAACAACCATTAAAATATCTTTTATCACAATTTGATATGTAATAAGCTTTAACATGGAAAAATACCTTGAAAAATTTCCATCTGTTGTTATTGTTGTTTGATTCATCAATTGGCTCAGGTGTCACTAGGAGGGTAGAATGAAGACGCAAAATCGCCGAAAGGACCTCATGTACATAAATGCTTACAGTTTGACTAGACCTCTTAAAGTCAAATTTAACAACCTTCATCTGTTTATGATGAGTGATTATAGAAATAAAGAGAGAAACCTTCTCCGTAACTGTTACATATTTGGAATCAGATAGACCACTAACTGTACGGAGAAGGTAACATAACCGAGTGAATGCTCCCTTAGTCATCCTCAAATTTTCCATACAGTCTACTCATTCAAGGCCATCAAATTGTTCAAATGTTCTACTTGGTCTAGGAATCCTATTCGCCATCACATATTTAATTTGTTTTGTATATTCTCTAGATGGTTTACACCTTTGTTCCCGTCTTAATGCTACCACCATCTTAATGAAGAATGTACATTCATTAATGATTTCCTCCAAAACAAGATAAAGTTCAGCCTTTCTCCTGTTAATCTCGGCCATTATATGTTATACCTTTGATGAGATTTATGTAATAGCTGTTGTAAAATCTGTACAACAAAACTTATGAGTCATGCGTCATTCTTTTCTATATATTCAGAACATACTTCACACAAAAATATAATTTTAAATTCAAAATCTTCTACTTTCAAATTGGATTCAAATATTAGCTCATTTCTCCCATCACATGGACCAACTGCAAATAAATATAGAATTGAAATCTACAAATAAGAAACGAAACGAAGCATTGAAACAAAAAATTGACAGAAAACCTGTTATCTACCAATTTCAAATAGCAATGCACATTCCTCATTTTTGTATAAAAAATAGAAATATGTTGTTCAAAGCAATAAAACAAACACCAATAATGCACCTTTGTTATTGCTCAATAACAATTACTAATCAAAATAGAAAAATGATACACAGACAACCTAGTGTACAACTAGGTTGACAACACAAGTGGAAACATCCACTTGTGTATTTTTTTTTATTTTTATTTTTATGTATATTTTTTACTTGTGTTGTCAACCTAGTTGTACACTAGGTTGGCAATGTAGCATTACTCATCAAAATATGGTATTAAAAACAGTGAAACAAACACCAGCAATACAACTTTTCATTGTTCTCTAACAATGAGAAATAAAATATGCTATAGGAAATAATAAAAGAAACAACACAGTTATTAATGTCCTCTAACAATCAGATAGCATATTTGTTATTGCAATCAATGAAGAAAAAACAAAAATGCACATTTATCATTCTTCTATAACAATGACAAAGGTAAATATGTTATTTGACACAATGGAACAAACCCAACAAGCATTTGATTTCACTGTTCTGGCCCGCTGAAAAAATTGAGAACAGAGCCAACAATACAAACAATGAACCGAACAAAGCCAATGTAAGTGCATAAGGTCAGGCTGTTACATTAAGCAAGACCGAAATCCACCTTATGAAGAGTTTAAATATTTCCGACGAACCACATATTAACGATGAAC